GAGAGAGACACCATGTGACTTTATATAAAGAAAAGCTGTTTGCTGATATATTAATGTTCTAAATCTCATATATAGGACCTTTAAAATTACATTATGATGCATTTAAAAGTGTTAACTACAAAACAAACAACAAAAACACAATACAAAGGTGACATTTATAACACCACGTTAAGACCTGAGATTGTTGATAGTGAGGAAAACATGAAGCTGTGGAGTTTAAGGACAGACTGAGTTTTTCACAGTTAGCATTACATTGCATTACACTGCAGATAAATCCAGCTTTAGCCGGGTTTGATTCTCTACTTCTGCTGTGGAGGTGTCCTTGAGCGAGACACCAAACCACCAGATTGCTCCTGATTGTGTGTATGTGCGGGAACAAAAATCAACCTGTAAGTCGCTTTGTACGAACGCGTCTGCCAACTGAATGAAATGTAGTGCCATTAGGCTCCTCTCCACTCGCTGGGCACACGTAGTCCTGCATCCTGATGTGGTCATTTTTTGGTGCTGGTGCACTTAAAGACATTGAAAGTCCAAACAAACAGATGCATCATCAGGATAAAAGAGGCTGTAAACGCCGCCGACCCACCGCTCAGTCTCCGTCGGCTCTGATTGTTTTCTTATAACCTCGCCTTCTTTCTTCTGTCATCAGTGCTGAACCACTGCGAGGTCCACCGGGTCGCCGCCGCCGTTTACCAGTGTTACAGTGATCTCAGCGGCCCCGACTCTGTCACCATGGAGACCTACAAGCCTGCACTTACCAAGCTTGGCAAGTCCGTACAGGTGAGCTGCTTTTCTTTTTATATATCCGAGGGGGGGGGGCTTTGGAAAGGTCAGAGCGGTCAGAGAGAGGAAGAGAGCAGCTCGTTTAAAGTTTGTCAGATATCTAAAGTAAACCGAGGAAGCTTCTCGCCGCCGCCGCTGCCGCCGCCCACAGTCGATGATGTCACTGCGGGTTGTGACAGGTAATGGGAATAGAGATGTGAAGTTGGTTTATGTCAGGTTTCTTTTAACAATATCCTCAATGTTACTAACCACAGAAACACTTAACTCTCCCACATAATGTGACAATCTTCTAGAAATCATGGAGGAATCAGTCAGTCTGTCTCTAAATACGTCCTTTCCACTGTTTCCATGGCGAAGAAGACAGTTGGAGTTGCAAATAAGAGCTCATAGTTGTTGAGTTTTTATATAACTCACTCTTTTAAATTATATTAAGGCTTAAAGTTATGTATAATTAAGGCCGTGGCCGATTTGAGTGAGAAGTGGGTGCTGTCACAGGTGGTTGTTTTTCACCTCCACCTCTTCGCCCATTTTTGGATTAGTCTGGAGCCGGTGGAGTCTTCTCCCTCGAAGTGTTTATGCACACTGAGTCTTTATGAAGGAACCAAATATTTTCTAAGTTGTTAATCCTTTGAACTGATGATTCAGGGAAAGAGGAGGGGAAGATTTCAAACACTCGCTCTTGCTCTTATCTGCAGACTCCACAAACAGTTTTAGAAGATCAATCATGAAACAGCTGTTTGTCTGTCTGCCTGCAGTCACTTCACCTCATGTATCAATCAATGTCAATGAGGAGGCTGCGTTTTTCTGTTAACCATTTAAAAAGGCATCTGAAGTGTTTTTAATCTCCTTTTCTTTTTCTCTTTCTCAGTTGGACTCGTCTCCGAGCACAGACGTCCTCCGCAAGTTCGTCCAATCCACCAACATACAGAGTAATCTTTATATCTGAAAATGGCCACGTTGCACACTGTACAGTGCAGTTGAAATCTATTTTCCTGTGTAAAATACTGTCATTTTTTAATAAAGAAATTAAGTAAAGAACACCCTTTTGTTTGAATGTAATCAGTCGAGTTTTTTATATTGTCTGTCAATAATAATTATAATTAGCAGGTTTCTGTTTTTCTCTTCGGGATTATTTGTGTCAGCTTTAAAGATCCCCCTGACTTTTTATTAAGCTCCACGAGCCGTGTGTGAAATCTTTAACGCTTTACGACAAAAAACCTGCAAAACTTCTGACATCCCCTCAGCTCTTAATCTTCTATTCAAAAAATCGAAATAAAGAAGAAATTAAGTTTTCCTTCGACTGCACATTAAGCCTTTTAGAAAGACCGTGACGATGATTCAGGAGGCCATTCAGCACGAGAATAGAAAGCATTGTTCCAGTCAGCTGTGCACACGGTGGAGGTATTGAAGGTATGAAAACGGTGAATCCAGAGTAGGACATTGAAGCTGAAACAATGCAATGTGACTTTGAAGAGTTTGAAGAAACAGGTCAGAGCCTGAGAGAATACAGCAGTTCGTCTTACCCCCATTCAGCATTGCCACTGTGTGAGGTTGACCCAACTGCTCAGGCACAAATCAAAAGAAGTGTTGGCTCTACTCCTTGCTCATTAAACTGTCTGCTGCTTATGATATCATGGTGTGATTGTGGGATCTAAAACTCAAAATTTTTAATTAAATTTTTTTGTTGTTGTTTCATATCAATTTAAACTATACAATTGCAATAAAAACAATTCTATTATTAAAAAATGGATTTAGTCTGGTGCAATATAATAGTAAAAGTGCCCACAAATGCAAACGGTTGATAAGAAGAGAGCAGATGTCTGGGCTTTATTTGTTAATAAATAATTTTAAAAAATTAAACAATCCTAAAAATGTATAAATTCAATATATATCTGCATTTATTGTATTGAGAATAATGTTTTTAATGGGATTATTTTATGATTCTTGTACTGCTGTTCACAATACCTCCTCCTGTCCACCTGGGGGCGCTGATGCGGCAGTGAGACGTTTGTCAAACGGAAGAAACTAAAGCGAGCGAAACTCAAACCGACCTGTTGTTTACTGTTTGAACGTTAAAGAGTTTTTATTTGTTTTCTTTTCTTATTTGTTTTCTTTTCTTATTTGTTTTCTTATTTGTTTTCTTTTCTTCGGACCTTCAGTCGGTGAGCGAATAAACGTTAATAACAGTCGACAGAACCGATATAACGTCACATTAACGTTTAACGACGCGATGAGCGCGAGCCGCAGGACGAGCAGAGAGCGCGCGGTGCTGGCCGCGAGGAACCGGGCGGTGGTTCCGGTGGGAGTCTGGGTGGAACCCGGACAACAATTAATGGAGCACCCGGCTGTAAGCTGTTAGCTGTTAGCTGTTAGC